ACCACATGGTGCTATATAACGGTTTTCTTCTCTACGTTTAATTTTCTCAATCAATCGATACACATCGTTGATACCACGAAGCAACGATATTGTATAGCTTTTTCCTAGATTGCAAAAAAATTGAAACAAAACATATAAGTCGCGATTTCACCCCTCGGCAAGAAAAAAGCGCCGGTAATAAAACGGCGCGAAGCTCTCGCACTTTTACCCTCATGATAGTGTCGGCCTCCCCTGACAACAACGCATGTCCACGTATACGTCGTGTCGGTGAGAATTCCTCCAACTGGGTGGGGCGGTATACAAGCGCCTGCGTTGGATATCCAGGAGCGTATCTCTTGGGTTATCCAAAATATTTCCGCTCCTATTATCCTATTATCAATTCGAATCGCCGACGACTTATCATTAATCATAAATTCTCTCTTTTCCTTCCTCTTTTCCTCTCTTCTCCCCCCCCCCTCTCTCTTTCTTTCCGCATAAAGAGTGTCGATAGACGTCGCGTCGTGTTCCACTTGACGTATATTCATACAGATCTTTCGCGTGCCCACGTTCGACTTTTTCTTTTTCACAGTCTGTCCTCGACTATACACATCCCCTTCTGCTACGCCAACTCACCCCTTTCATTCTTACTCTGTCTGCTCGGTAAACCCGGCACGATTCATGTTGGTTCGCTGAGCGAAATGATAAATCTACGGACGATGAGCGAAGTGTTTGCTCGCCTTCGCACTTACGGATCGACTTTTATCGAAGCCCGCGGGTCAGGCCTTACGTTAGTAAGAAGCAGACAACCGGTAGCAAAGTGGCAGCGGGAGGAAAATTTATTGGCGTCGGGGACAATGTCTCTACGGATGTATACCCATACCGTTACGCATGAATATCCGCCGGATCGGTAAACTTCGGAAAAAATATTGTACAAACGCAAGTTTCCTGTTAACTTTCAACAGATATAATATTACATAATACAATTTTTTATTTTCTTTTATTTCCGTGTTTCTAATAAATTCTATTTATCTGAGAAGGCGGTGGTGACTCGTGAAAAGAAATGATAAAGATCTATGAATGTTCTTATTTATAAATAATTTATAAAAAAGAACATTTATATATGTAAAAAATTTATATGTAAAATAAGTTAAAAAATTAATAATTTGCTTGTACATTCGTAAGAGGGTGGTTAATTCTCATTTTTTTCAATATTTTCTGTGACCATATGTATGTGACAAGAAGAAATTAACTGACGTCAACAAAGTTTAGAAAGATTAAGAAGTACTGCGTTTTATAAAGTTTCAAGAGAATATTGTAAGAGCGTAAAGAGAAGGAACGCTCATCTCAACTTATTGAAGCACGTAGAAAGAAACTCCCGCTTAAAACGTTGTTTTGAGCAAAGTTTTAAATCTTTGGGAAGAATGTTTGATAATTTTGAACTTTTGCGCAAGACTTGATAGATATAAATTTTTCCATAGATGATTGGCTCCGCTTGTGAAACTTTTAGACGATCTGACAAAGATTTTGCATCCTCCGGTGAAATAGTGGAGACTGAAGGAATCAACGAGCGGTTAGCACCCGTATGTGACGTGAAATTTATGGTCTGGTAATTTAGCGAGAATTTAAAACATTCTGTCGGAATAAAATTGCGGGGAAACACCTGCGCGCCAGCCTCATCAGAAGCCTTTTTCGCGTTTTTCGGATTACAAGACAAAAGAATGAACGTAAATGAGATACACACGGGCAGAAATTTGAATTGAGATCGAGTTTGAATTGATTTTTCTTGTTGGATAGAATTGGAGAAACTTATTACTATCGAATCGCATACTTGCTTATCGTGCCAGATGTATTGCGCTCTTTGATGAAGGAGTTGGGGAGAAAGAGATGGGAGGTTGTTAAAGAAAGGACGGATAAATCTCGACGGAAAGAACGGATAAATCGCACCCATCCACTAAGCACCTATCCGCAATAAGAGAACACCCCTCTCCTCTTTCATAAGCCGGCTGGCTCTTGAGACCCTTATCTTGCGCGCGAGCGCAAAATCCTATGTGACGATACAAAGAACTGGAGAAATTTTTAACGTAAAAATAAAAAGTTAACTATGATGTATGTGTGTGTGTAAATGGAAGATTTTCATCTCGTAGGGCGGAACGTGCGCTGTCGTGCCGGTGGAATTAAAGCGAGGGTAGATCGACCGATAAAAGGAGGACGATCGGAATTGTTCCGCACTTGCCTGTCCGTGACCAGCTCTTTTCTTGTCTATACGAACCTCAATCCATCCTCAACATGGCATTTTTCTTCGAGAAATTTACAAAAGCATATCGATTAGTTTGCATATCACTGGAATTTCCGGTCTTAAATGTCAGCATGATAAAAATTTCACTTTACTCTCTGATATTACAATATTACAAAATCTTGGAAAAATGTAATACATGAACATTTCGTTTTTTCATATATTATTATATCATCGTTTCTGATTATTTTTTATTTGAAACTTTAAATTTTAGAAGTAATAATTACAATATAAATTACAATATTATAGATTAAGAATTAAATTTGTACAAATTTAAATCCCTTTTGTGTAACACCTCTATATTTTATTTGAAAAAAATATCAAAACGGTACCATCTTGCGAAGAGAATATGCATGAATGGCTTAAGCTCGGTTTACGGCACGCACAAAATCTTCGTTGAAGCGTATGTTCCGCGATAAAATCCATCCGTCTGGTTAGCTCGTATGTGCACGCCGTCCCCGATTCGATTTTATTTTCAACAGTCGGTGAAAGAATTAAAGAGACGATAGGAAAGTCTCGCGAGAAATGGCGGAAGAGTCGCACACGTTTCTGTGAACGTTTATACGTCAGCAATAAGACGATCCAGCCTCTCGTTTTCCCGCTCCCTTCGCTTCCACACCCCCGAGATTTCGATTTATCGCAAACGCGCGCGCGAAAAACCGCCGTCTGGCGCAATGGGTGGCGCGGGAAAAAATTGTTCGAAGTCAGTTAAAAAAAGATTGGTGGAAGTTCCTCGTCGACGCGCGACAGGCGAAAGGATTAAAGAATGGATAGATAAATCTCATGAGAAATAGCGGATAAATCGCGCTCGTCCACTAAGCACACATCTACCCTCAATAAGATCCTGTCCCCTCCTGTTTCATCTCCAGCCTTTCCTCCTTCTTTTTACTCGCGTTCCAAAACTCGATTTATCTCACGCGCGCGAAATTCCTTCCGCAATATGAAGCGCGCAAGAAAATTCTCAAAGACGTATGAGTAAAGACAGCTCCACTCGAGCGAATGAATTTCCTACCTTGAACTTCCTGCTTCGGTTGAAAAGTTCGACGATGAGACAATGGAAAGAAACAGTACATATAAAGTTGCAACGAAATAGTGAAGTGATATAAATGAAACAATGCTGGAGGTATTCATGACGGTGGTAAATTTCACAAGTCACAACGCGTTTCGTTTAATCATTATGTATGGCATAATATAAAGGTGCTTTTTTACATGATATTATTATGCACAAACGATGATAACAGTTGCAATCTTTTGATGTATAGTTGTAGTTTATTCAATTTTATATTCACAGTAATAACGCGTACTCTAGAATTTTATTTTTATGCATCGCTTGCGCGTTATATGATCATTATGTAATCATAAATTTTACAATTTTACAATAATTTGTGCTTCTCTTTCTCTTTGTTTTTCTCGAATCTATTTAATTCTAATAATTTAATCTCTTGCGATAATATATATATATATATATATATATATATATATATATATATTATTAAACAATTAATATGTTAACCAATTAACACAAAATTCGATTATAAAAGAATAAATAGATGTGAAAAATTAATACAACGCAACAGTTTGAAATTGAATCTTGCACAATTTTCCAGTTTGCTAAGCAATAACGTAATTAATTTGATTATCTGAAAACCGATAGCAAGAGAAAACATCTTTTTATGTACAAAGCTATTATTTTTCATCCTATCTCAGGTTGATTTTCTAAAGTTGGTACAGACATTTATAAGACGTTACAGACATATATAAGTACATCGGAAATGGATTGCGAATTGAATCCTACTTTAACATGATTGCACCTTCGGAAATACATCGATTTACTGAATAAAATATGAAAAAAAAGAACACAAGAGTAAGAAAGGATATAGGACAGCGACATCACCAAACTGATCCGAAATATCGACTGACTATATCGGCCGATTCCCGACAATCTAAGCAGAATTTTCAACTTTTCGCGGCAGTAGAGCCGCGAAAAGAGAATTTTTAAGGAAAGTCGGCGAGACCGGGGCGAGAGGAAGAAAAAAAACGCGTTGTCACCTTCTTGCGCGTCTTTTTCGTCGACGAGCGTGTCGACGGGCAACGTACCACTCGTAATAAACGATAAAGGGAAATAAAAGTGGCTTCACCCAACAAAGAAGGGAAACCAATGCGACGGAAGAGGGACAGACGTAGTGGGCGACATCGTGGTTGGAAGCAAGAGAGGGAGGAAGAGAGGAAGGGAGGAAGCGGAGTGGAGCGCGTCGGCGTGTGTACCAGTCCGTTTCCAGCGACACGATGTGCTTCCCTATGCTTTTTGTTTTAATTTCCTAGAGGCTACCGGCTCCCCATTTCGCTCCCCTACTCTTCCCTTCAAGCGTTCCTTTTTTTCTCTCTCTTCGTTCTCCCCAACGTGTCTCCCTATCCTCCGTCACTGCTCGCCGTTTCCCTCGTGGGAGCTCCGCGAAATGTACCACGGCGGTTTTCAGCACTGTGGATGCTGCTAGGTATATATCCTCATCCTACCCCCCCTTCTACTTCCCTCCCTGCTTTCCTCCGTCGGTTTCCTCCATCCTCCCACACCGTCCCCACCGCGCCCTGTTTCTCGCTTTCTCTCTCTCTCTATCTCTCTTTTCTTTCCCTCCTACCCGTTTATCCCTTCCCCGACGGGTTCTCTCATGCCGCCATCCCTCCGCCACGGAGTAAAGGGCTGAACCGGCCAGTGCAATTCCCGACGAGATCGGCGTCGAACCCGCGTTCCTGGTCGGCGATCGCGCGTCAATCTCCGACGCTTCTCGTATGCGTCACCGGGACGTCTTTTTTATCTCTTATTAAAGAGTTGCGCTTTGAAGACGAATTATCATTATTTTAATCGAGTCGATGATGTGACAATCCGTCTGAAATATTAAATAACCGGACGTCAAGATCCTTCGGGATTGAAAGGGGTGGGGATTAACGAAAAAGTGAAAAACCGATATGGACCAAAAGTGATACCTGGCGGGGTGGACACGACGCGGGATATATATCTGAAAACACGGAATATAAACTCACGATCGGAATTTCGCAAGAGATTAATCGCCGCGATGTCAACACCGTGCGATGTTCGCTACGGCGCGCGGAACCGCGATCCAGCGATCCAATCCAGTGATATCGTGCCGCGACACGTAAGTCTCGTCCCACGCGACGCACGCGTCACGACGGATCCTCGGAGCAGGATTCTGCGAGAATTCGGTGGTCGCGTTGCGGTCTCGTATTGATCGGATCCACATCGTGGATCGTAGATGACGGGCTAAATCCTGGTGGTGCGGGTGGTTTCCCCTTCGCCCTTTCCGTTCACCACAGCTCCAAGTTATTTTCGGCGCCTGTTTGATGGACGGGTTATTCTATGCACGAATATCGTTATCTCTCGAGGAGACAGCACATTTCGAGATTTTTCGCGATGAAATTTTCACAATGCAATTTCATTCTCGACATTTTCGCTAATTGAACACGCCCGCTGATCGACCGATCGGCCGAATCCGCTTAACTCGCGAATCCGGGATTTAGTCCTTTCTTTTTTTTTTATGCGGAGTCCTTATGACTGTCGTTCGCTGGCACGGATGCGCTCGCCTACGGCGATTAATTAAAATAATCCCTTGGCGCGCCCACCGCGCGTAAATTATTACACGATAGTGCCAGGCGTGTCCGAGAAGTTCTAGGACTGAATGAATGAAACGGGAAATCAGAGCGAACAGAGAACGTAGATTGATATTGGCACGAATGTCAATCAATTGTTTCCAGATCAATTTTTGTCAAATTTACACTACGTTTGACCGATTGTCAAACAATAACTATCGCCATTTTGTTAAATCAATCTCTAGGCGGACGTAAAATCGCATTATTTAATTTCAATTCAACGTTATTTAATTTCCATGTCGCGTTATATTGAATGCTATTGTGCAGGTGACGTCGTCACTGTACCATCGCTCTTCGTGAAAAAGCCTTTGTTTGAGAGCATTCTTTATCCTCTTACAAATTTTTTTGGATATCTTATGACTGCGGCTGAAGTCAACATCAAAAAGGAATATAGCTTGGTATATTAAAATTATTACAGACTGTACACAAAGGAATTCGTAATACATTATTAAAAATTATCGAAACAAAAAAATACGTGAAAAATTAAGAATAAAATAACATAGATATAAATTGTTAATAAAATATAAAAAAAGATATTGAAATTGATAATCGATTAAATTGCTTTTTTAAATCTTTATTGTGATTAAAATATTGTGTACGTTTTGGAAACATAATTACTTTCAAATAATAATACGAATTTTTCTTTTATCCAAATTTTTAATTTTTCTTTTTATCCAATTTTATAATAACGGATATTAAATACACAGATTTGATTAATTGCAAATTAGTAGTTAAAATAATAATTAAATAATAAAATAATAATTAAATAAATTGTTACATAGCTATGTAACGTAGAAAAAGAGAGTAAAAAATAGGGTAAAAAATGGCGTTATTGCAGAATACTTATAAACATTTCTTGAGATTTTACCATTGCGTTTGTTGCAATCAATAATTGCGCATTACATTTCTTCCGCGAAAGATTTCGATGTTCCATCCAGAAGCCCTGAAACTTTTATTGGACACACCTTGCAATCCGTTTGACATGAACGTTACAATACGTTGCATTTCTAACAGATCAGTCAGGACCCCATTGCTGGATTGTATTAATTGAATCTCGAAGTAGACGAGACCTTTCTGATTTACATGAGGAGATAGTCTGATTTCTCTCGGCGACATTTTATTTCACTTTCTTGCGGTACATTAAAATATGCATGATAGAATTGGATCGAAGTTTGACATTTATATTCGACTAAAAGTATTTGATATTGAACGTATTCAGGTACTTTAGAAATAACTTGGAATTCGTTATCCTGTAATCTCTCAAAAAGAATTTTGCTGTTTTATGTATTATTTAAATCGGAAAAACTATACATGTGCGCGTTTTATTATTATCTTGTATGTTGTGTTATTATTCTTGTGTATTATACATATGTGAACGTAAATAAAATTGTATATAAATTACGATTATTCTCTCATCACAGAAACATCTAGGCTATATTACATCTAGGAAACATTATTTATATATCACATATATCTATCTTATTATCCATTATTCTTTTTATATTGATCAAGATTGCTTAAGATCAATATTCTTGGGATTCAATTATTTGTTTAATTTTGCATTATTTTTTGTAAAAATATAGAAGAATTTTAGTTTAATATTTAAATAATAAAATGTTTCATGAAAAAAGTGAGTTAAAAAGTGTGAAAATAGTATTCGATCATATTTCAAATTTAAACAAGTCAAATCAAGGAATATATATATCTAAAAATGAAAATTATATCCAATACAAATGCACGAAATATATGTGTAGTAAATGGGCAAATTCTTTACTACAGAAAAATTTGATTTTTAATATTACACGTTCGTATCATCGTATGGATAGCATCGTGCATCCGTTTGCTCTTGCTGTGATGAGTTCCAGCTGGTCTTTCGGGCGTATTAATTGAATCTCGTCGCGAATTCGAATCAGCCTAGTTATCATTAATTCAAGACGTACTTGGAAGCTGCGGAAAATATTCCACTTGCTTCTCCGATTTCTGCTTGTTATATCGTTCACGTGAGCATTTAATTGCCTACGTTTGTCTTCGCAACATCGCTACAGACACGAATTTCAGCCGTCCGCTGAGGTGTACTAACAAGATTTTGTCGTAGATCAGGATAGACTGGATCGCATTAATTCACGTGAAGCCCGTAAGCTGTGAAAGACGCGCTGCCGCATTTTCCACCTTCTCCGCGTTCAAATTTTTGCAAAGATTTATGGGAGATGTCTGCTGCATAGATTTGTTATGTGTTGAGCAGCGCAATTATGTTGTTTAAAATAAATGTGTTTTTCAAATATATATTATTATTTTTATCGATTATACCTATATTTTATATATAATTGTGTAATTAAACTCTTAAACTTTTCGACTCCCATAAGATTTTAAATTTTATACATTTTTATATTTTATATATAAAACAGTAAACATTTTTGTTATTTTATATTAATATATCTTAAGAATTTTAAAATTGAAAATATCACAGGAAACATTTTTGATATTTTATATTAATATATCTTAAGAATTTTAAAATTGAAAATATCACGGAAAATTTAAAAAATTCTTTGTAACTTTTTTATATTTGAACTTTATTAAGTGAAAAACTTTATTAAGTGTAAGTGGTTGATTTATATCTCTTACAAACCTCTTATTACATATTTTATTAATTCTTTATTAAGTGGTTACTTACTAGTGCTCCGTAATTAAGTTATTCATTACATTCCTTTGGGCATCCTTTATAAAGAGAATATTTAATGCTAGAAATGTGTTACGTGTTTGTATGCATTACAAACAAAGACTCCTACACAAAATTATTGTTTGTATGGCAAATGCGTACGGAGAATCGCGCTAATTTAATATACTTAATCATTTATTCATTCATCCATTCATCTGTAACTGTTAGTTAAATCGTTATTTTAAGCAATGTTTTTAATTTTAGCACCTTTGTGGAAATAACAAATGACTTGTTTTACGTAACAAGCATATTTCCGAGTCTTGGAAAATCTTTTGCTGTAACACGCTTTCGCCAAATTTTGTTCTAAAGATATGACTGTCGTGCGCCCGTAACACGAAACTGCAAACACTCTATTTCGACGAATTATTTTCCAACCCCCATAAAAATTGCACGTAAGTCCTCCCTGGGGTTGCGTAAGTTTTTCCACGTTACCGGGTCATGTCGTTGTGCTCACTTCCCCGTGTTGGGTTTTTAATAATTGCTTTAGTTGGATTTGAACTGATCCTCACGACGTGCAGCATCCTATATTTGAACGTATTAATAATTCTGGCGAATCAAGATAAAACTGACACCTCCTTTTATTTTCTGCGCCTTATTCTACCGCACGTGTGCCCATTCCGTATGCACGACTATATGTGGATTATTCCGTTTCTCGTGTATGTAGGATATATAGGAACTCTCTATACACAGTTGGTTCCTTTTTAATTGAATTCCTTGTACAGCTAGCTGCCTCTTTCTCAAGTAATATTAAATATCTCTGGATTTTTGTATATTTGCTCATAACAATATATGAAAAACGAATATGTTTAAGTTTGTAAAATAGAATAAAAAATTGTAATATTTTATAAAGAAAAGAATAATTTTACATAAAAGGGAAAATTATTTTTAAGCTAATTTTATGATAAATTTATATTTATATTGTTAAAGTATTATTTATATATTACTATGATAAAAACTTTTTTTGAATGTATTACAAAAGTTGTTTCTATATAATGAATAGTTATAGCCAGAATTTAATAGTTTGAATTAATAGCCAGAATTATATAGCCAGAATTTAATAGTTTGAATTAAAATATCTATTATGAATTAGATTAATTGTTTTATATAAAAAAATTATCTTGTACCTAAGTCTGTCAAAAGGTTCTTCATTTTATTCTCACGAAAAATCAATTTTTTGGTATATATATATATATATATATATATATATATATATATATATACTATATATATTTTGATTTTTAGTTAATCTGATTTTACTTTCAAATATTTTTAGATAATAGATATGTATAGTATAAACGGTTATTTCTTTTTTTATATCGATTTATATTGAATACATCTATTTTACTTTTTAAGAAATCTTATATTTATATATGTTTGCTTTTAACGAAAATTTTATTGCAAATTGTTATAAATATTGTAAATATTTTAATCTTTTAAATTTCTAGATACCTTGGTAAATGATATTTCGTATTTTTGATTATATATGTTAAAACAGTTACATAGAATAATGTAAAAGATATATATTTTTATATATTTTTATGGTATTATTATAATAATCTCTCTCTTTCATTCACATACAAGGCATTAAATTTTTATTTCTTATTAACATTCATATATTATTTTTATCATTTATTAACATTCATATATTTATCGAATTTGCATATACATATTGTATTGTGGAAAAAATATTTGCAAATTTAAATATTGGACGTTCTCTTATTTCCGTTTAAAATCCACTTGATATAAAAAAATCAACCCAAGAGTGGATTTAAT